CTGGATATGGGGGGGCAAAGAGGAGAAGGCCACTTGGCCACCAAGGCAGCAGGTCTGGGGCAGCAGCTGACAGTGGTGGGACTGTCCTGGGCTGGTGGGGGGTAGCCCCAGGGGGGCCCTGGGTTGCCACATGCAGGTGCCATGCTGGGGGGCATGAGGTTGGTGCTTCCCTGTGGGGAAAGCAGATTATTGTGGATCCCTTTTGGGGTGGATAATTGGTCCCTTGGGCTCCTGGGCAGCCTTTGGTGCAGAATCAGGGGTGGGTGAGGGATGCAGTGGAACAGGGAAGATGGATTTCATCCAGGCTATGAGAAGCTGCAGGTGGCTCCTGGCTGCCTGCTCTGGGTACAAATGACCCTGTCTGAAGGAGAACTTGGACTGTTTTGGGACTTGCTTTTCTTCTTCAATGCCCTGACTACCCAGCAGGATGGGGCCTGGGAAAGGTGAGGGAACAGTCATGGCTGTCATCTGTCTGGACTTCTGCAAGGCAAGAGCTGTGGGTGTCATCTGTCTGGAGTTCTGCACGGCCTTTGGCTCTGTCCCCAGCAGCAGCAGCAGCCTCTCTTTGAGCTGGAGAGGTGGATTTGAGGGGTGCACTGTTTGGTGGTTGAGGAGCTGGTTGGATGGGTGCATCCAGAGGGTGGTGATCAGTGGCCTGATGGAGATGGGTGACAAGTGGTGTCCCTCAGGGGTCCCTGCTGGGACCAGTGTTGTTGAGTATCTTCAGCAGTGCCATGGGCAGTGGGATCGAGGCACCCCCAGCAGGTTTGCAGATGGCCCTGAGCTGAGTGGGGTGCTCAACCCCTGAGGGAGGGGATCCATCCAGAGGGGCCTGGACAGGCTGGAGAAGTGGCACCATGTGAACCTCCTGAGGGTCAACCAGGCCAAGGGCAAGGTCCTGCCCCTGGCTCAGGAAGGGAGACAGTTTTGACCCTGAGGGTGGTGAGCCCCTGTCCCAGGCTGCCCAGAGAGGTGGTCACTGCCCCATCCCTGGCACCATCCCAGGGGAGGTTGAGGGCTCTGAGCACCCTGCTCTAGTTGGGGCTGTCCCTGCTCCCTGCAGGGGGTTGGACTGGATGGATTTGAAAGGTCCCTTCCCACCCAAACCAGTCTGTGATTCTGTTCTATGATTTTATGAAACGTTTCTCATTCCCCTGGAGCTTCCCCCTCTGTGGCTGCTGCTCAGGGTGGATCCTTTTGCTCCACAGCTGGAGCATCTTCCTGTGGCCTCTGAGCTCTGCTCCCCATCCCTTTCCTCACGTGGTGGAAGCTGTGATCTGTGATGGGACATTGAGACAAAACCTTTGCTCAGCACTTCTGTGTCTGCTGCTTGGGAAAATGTTGGGAAAAGGGAGAAAGGATGAGGGCAGGTGGAGCCTGAGTGGATGGTCTTCTTGTGTTGGGTTTCTGGAGTGGAACCATCTGCCATAGACTTGGAATATCAGAGGTTTTGCTGTCCTGGAGCAGGGGAGCAGAGGTTTGTGCTGTTCTGGAATAAGGGAGCAGAGGTTTTGCCCTTAGTCCTCCCACTGATGTTGTGTGAGACCTCTCTGTGTCCTGCAGCTCCAGGAATGGACACAGAGCTCGTGCCTCACCTCTGCCAGGACCCTGTGCTTCAGAGCATGGGGGCACTTTGCTGATTCATGCTCTTCAATCCCAAAACCTTTCCAATTTCCAGTGAGAAAGACCACTTTTAAATACAACCATAGAATCAGTTTAGTTGGAGAAGACCTTTAAAGACCATCAAGTCCACCCCCAAACCCAGCACTGCCACATCACCACTCAACCAGACCCCTGAGTGCCACCAAACCACCTTGCATTGCTTTTTTTGACTCTTCTGCTTGCCTTTTGCCATGTTTTGAGGAACAGGAGATGTTAGAAACCAGCCTCCCTAGGGAGCTGAGCAGCTGCTTTTACCTCTGAGCTGGATGAAAAGGAGGAAGCAGCACAGTGACCAAACTGCCCCTTGGGTCCTGCTGGGTGAGGTCAGTTGGTTGCTTTTGTGGCTACCAGAAATGGCTTAGAGGAGTTTATCCTCAGCAGCCCAGCGTGGAAATAAAGGGAAATCATCTGGGTGGTGGTTGATAATTCTTCTCTTGGGAGGAAGTCTGTCATGGGACAGGTTTTTGGCTTCCTCCTGAGCATTTAGAAGCAAGTTGTGTTGTCTGCAGTGTTCTCTGCTGGCCGGCCCTGTGTGGAGGAGAGGAGCTCCTGCAGATTCCAAGTAAGGTTTGCTCCAAATAACTCCAGATCATTCTCTGCTGCCTCTTCCTTGGGGGGGAAGAGCTGAGCTGTGCCATGAGGGGCTTGTGGTTTTGCCTTTTTGGAGGATCCCAGCTGGGATCTCTTCGTGGTGGGCTCAAGTTTGTGCATCCAAACCTTGGCTCTGACCTTCCCCGGGTGAATTTCTGGCCCCTCTCAGAGGGGCTCACGTGGGTCAGGCTCCCTCCTCCTCCTCTTCACCCTCCTCTGGGTTCCCACAGAGGCCTCTGTCAGCTTCCTCCGTGGCAGGGTGTCCTAGGGAGAGCCACAAAACCTGCACAGGTTCTGATTTCACGTGGTTCTCTTGTGTTCCAAGGCCTGGGGCAGGGCAGGGGTGGGGACCTGGGGTCCAGTGGCCTTTGGGTTGCCCTCCTCAGCACCTCACCACGATGTGTTGCCCTCCTCAGCACCTCACTATATGATATCTTGCCCTCCTCAGCACCTCACTACACCATTTCTTGCCCTCCTCAGCACCTCACCAGCATCTTGTAGAAACTCCTGCTCTGGTTTATTCAGCAAAACTAAGTCTAGAACTTCTAACTGGGATTGTCCTAGGAAATGTCTGAAAAGAAACTCTGGAAAGAGGCTGGTGGCTCTGTTAAAACCCTGGGCTGTGTATTGTTCACTAATCCTTTGGGTTTTTTGGGGGGTCTTTCTTTTGCATGTGGGCAAAGCAGTGAAGGGGTTCAAAAAAAAGCACCTGACGGCCGCCGACTGCGAAGCTCTGGCGCAGAGTTTGGAAGGTTCATCCTCCCTGAGGAGCCCCTTGGGTGAAAGAAGGAGCAGAGGAGATGTGCACAGGGGCCTCCACCCCACCCCCCGGCCACGGGGACGTCGCTCAGGTACACAGGTCACCAGTGCTTTGAAGGCTGAGGGATTTAGGGCAGGAAAATGCTGATGTGGAGCAAGAGGGACTTGTGAAATCCATCATCAGGCTTGTGCTGCTGCCAGGAGAGAGGGGGGGGTGCAAACAGAGGACGTTGGTTGGGTTCAAGTGGTGCCTGGAAAACTGGGTTTCATGCAAAAACCTGGCCTTTGAAAGAGAGAACCTTGATTAGTTCCTTCTCAAGGGGAGAGAATTTGCCTTGGCATCTGTGTGGAGTCTCTCCTCACACCAGGATCTATCAGCGAGCTGTCAGAGGCTTTTGTGGAGAGGAGAGCAGCTCTCCCTGAGGAACACTGCAGCCTCTGCAATTAGGCACTCAAATGATGTGGCTCCTGCTTCTAGATGCCCCTTAGGATAATTGTTAAATAATAATGAGCTGTCTAGTTTGTATGGAATCATAGAAACACAGAATGGGTTGGGTGGGAAGGGACCTTTCAAGGTCATCCAGTCCAACCCCCTGCAGGGAGCAGGGACAGCCCCAACTAGAGCAGGTTGCTCAGAGCCCCAACCTCCCCTGGGATGGTGCCAGGGATGGGGCAGTGACCACCTCTCTGGGCAGCCTGGGACAGGGGCTCAACACCCTCAGGGGTAAAGATTTTCTTCCTTGGATCTAGTTTCAATCTCCCTCTTTTCATTTCAAACCATCCCCCCTTGTCCTGTCCCAACAGTTCCTGCTCCAAAGTCCCCCCCAGGTTTCTGGCAGGCCCCTGGCAGTCCTGGCAGCCCCCAGCAGGTCTCCCCAGCTGGAGCCTTCTCCTCTCAGCTGCCCCAGCCCAACTCTCTCCTGCTGGGCTCCCAGCAGAGGGGTTCCCCCCTCGGGGCATTGCTGGGGCTCCTCTGGCCCCGCTCCAGCAGCTCCCTGGCTCTGCTGTGCTGAGGACTCCAGAGCTGCCCCAGCACTGCAGGGGGATCTCAAATCTTCATGTGCTTCTAAGGTACTGCCCTAAATCACTTGGAGCCCAACCTCAGTCTGAGGCACACCACCAGAATCAAGCCTCACATCGTTTCCTTCCTCTTTCCCCTTCTCTGGCTGTTGGAAATATCTCCCATGGGTTTTGCTGGGCAGCTGCATTTGTGTCACACGTGTCCTTGCATTATATTAACTGGGGGCTGGTGGGTTGAGAGGTTCTTTTGAAGACTATATCTCCACTAGCTTGTAGTCAGATGTCCCCTGGCAGTGCCCAGACTTTTTGGCCAGTGCAAAGAGCTTCATGTTTTTCTGTTGACTCCCCCAGGTTGCCAGAGAAGCAATATGAAGCAGGACAATTCCCCTGTAGTAAGCTCTGTGGAGATAACCACCCCCCCACCAGCCTTTTCAGCCTTTTCAGCTCAGGAGGTGTGTGCTTGGTGCTTGTTTCTGTCAAATTCTCTCATCTTCTTCCTCTTTCTGCAGGCCAAGGGCAGCAGAAGAACATCACTGATTACTTCAGGATATCTCAGACACAACAAGCAGTCCCTGGTAGGGTGAGGAATGGTAAAATCAAAGCAGAGCAGCTGGATCTCATCCTCCCTGATCCTGATGATTCCTTCAGCAGTGCCTCCTCTGTGATGGAGACCAGCAGTGACTCCTGCTCCTTTCTGGAGGACGAGGACTTTAAACCAGCTCCCAGGCAAAGCTCCAGGAAACGGCCTCTGGCTGCTGCAGCTGCTCCCAGGCCAGGGCAGGATCTGTGGGCTGAGCCTGAGAAGAAGCCCACGGTGGTTCATGCAGAACACAGGCAGATCAAACAGGAATGGGATGATCTGGAAGTGGAGCCCATCCCTGATGCACACTATGGCCTCCTGGGCACTAGGGACTGGGAGGTGCCTCAGGGGAGAATGGAGGAGCTGCCAGTGGAAGTCCTCAGGAATATCTTTGCTTTCCTACCAGTGACTGATCTGTATCAGAGCCTGAGCCTGGTGTGTCGTTGCTGGAGGGAGATAGTCAGGGATCCCCTGGTAAGGAGTGCTGCAGGGCTGCTTCCAGCCTCTCCCTCCTCCTCCTCTGCTCTGCTCTGCCCTCCTCTTGTGGCTGAGTTGCTGTAGGAGCATCCATGCTCAGTCTGTCTCTCTTCATTCCTTTAAATGCCTTTATGGTTCACTCGTGCCCCCATCCTTTCTTATGAGGTCTTTTGTCTGTTTTTTTTTTAACCACAGTGGCATCTTCAGGTCATAGAATCATTGAGTTGTTTTGGTTGGAAGAGACCTTTAAGGTTGTGGAGTCCAAGCATCCCCCATCCCTGCCAGGTCCCCACTGCCCCGTGTCCCTCCCCCCACATCTCCACGGCTTGGAAACCCCTCCAGGGGTGGGGACTCCACCACTGCCCTGGGCAGCCTGGCACAGGCCTCCACAGCCCTCCAGGGCAAGAAATTGTTCCCAAAATCCAACCTCAACCTCCCCTGGGGCAACTTGAGGCCCTTTCCTCTTGTCCTGTCCCTTGTCCCTTGGGAGCAGAGCCCGACCCCCCCTGGCTCCAGGCTCCTGTCAGGAGCTGTGCAGAGCCAGAAGGTCTCCCCTGAGCCTCCTTTGCTCCAGGCTCAGCACCCCCAGCTCCCTCAGCTGCTCCTCCCCACACTTGGGCTCTAGACCCTTCCCCAGCAGCTCCGTTGCCCTTCTCTGGCCACGCTCCAGCCCCTCAAGGGCCTTCTGGGAGGGAGGGGCCCAAAACTGCCCCCAGGATTGGAGGGGCAGCCTCCCCAGTGCCCAGCCCAGGGGCACCATCACCTCCCTGCTCCTGCTGGCCACACTCTAATAGTTCTCAACCTGTATCAGAAGATGGATGTGGGGACAACTTCCCTTGCTGCATTCTCCTGTCCATGGCAAGTGAGCATCCCGTGAGACTCCACAAAATCCTCCTTCACTGTTTTCCTTGCAGCTGATTTCTTCTGACAGGACTCATGCAGGGAGTTCTGGCTCCCAGCCTGGGCAGTGTCCTCTCCTGGCTGGTGTATGTCACTGTCCAGGGTGTGGAGTCTTCATGGAGTCAAAGGGTGTAGAGGAAAGAACTTTAACTCTGGGTTTATGGAGCTTGTTTCATCTGCAGCCAAAGCCCTCCCAGCACAGTGAACCCACTGGCAGCTGGTTTTGGCTGCAGTGAGGATCCAAGTTCTTCTTCATGTCCTGATGAGTGTGGATGGGACACAAAGCAGGAGGTGTCCTGTCCTCTGCTCTGCCACCACAACCTCTGTGCCTGGAGCCTGAAGAGCTGGAGGGATGCACAGAAAATGCACACGTTGAATCCTCAAGGTGCTCAAATCCTTTCCCAAATTACTCTTCAGTCTAACCCAGCCTGAAAGGCAGTGTCCTGGCTGTTTACAGCTTGTGGGAGGGTCAGGCTTCGTGGACACAGGGATTTGGAGCACTCAGACCCTGCCTAGAGCAGATCTGTGGGATACTGCTGAGAATCTCCCTGCTCCTTTAATGGTTTGTGTGAAGCAGCATCACCCCAATCCCATCACCTAGAAAAAACCACCCTTCTAGAGATGTTTGCAGGCTGTGAGGAACAAATCTGTCTCTCTTTCCTCTCTGCATCCCCATCTCCTGCTAGATACCCATTTCCATCAAGCCTCAGGGACTTTTTGAACTCCAGGTCTCCTTTGGAAGTCCCATCCCTGAGCTTATTGCCAGAAGAAACCTGTTTTCCCAGTGCTGTGAGGTGAAAGATGGTGCTCTGTGCTTCACATTCCAGTTCATCCCTTGGAAAAAGCTCTACCACCAATACCTGATGAAGGAGGAGTCAGCCCTGTGGAGAGTTGGAAAGATCTTGCAGGATTTTGCCATAAGCAAGGAGCAGGAAGAGTGTGTGCTGGGGCTGGTGAGGTGAGTCCTCTTCAGCACTTCATCCTGTGCCTGGAGATCCTCAGACCTCCCTTGCTTTGGGTCTTCTTCCATTTTAGGGTGGGAAATGCCAGGAGAGAATTGGGTTTGTCTTCTCAGCAGGTGGGAGATGTACAGGAAGATGAGGAAGGAGAAATTATTTTGAAGGTAGAAGTCACTAGTAGGGTTCTAGAAACAGGTAAAAAACTTTTCCTTGCCTCTTTTTTGTTCCATTTAGAGCATGTGATCATAAAATCATTTTGGTTGGAGGATACCTTTAAGGTCATGGAGTCCAACCATCCCCCCAGCACTGCCAGGTCCCCACTGCCCCATGTCCCTCACCCCACATCTCCACAGCTTGGAAACCCCTCCAGGGCAAGAAATTGTTCCTCAGGGACAACCTCAACCTCCTTGTTCTATCTTCTGGAAGGAGACTTTGAGACAGCCAGAAGGATCTTGGAGTGTAGGGACTTGTTTCAGCCAAGTATTTAAGGATATCTGTGTAACAGAACTGGGAATTATTCTTCTAGGTGACTTTTGGTGCAATAACAAGTTGGAAATCCAAGTTCAGCATCTTGCAGCCCCACAACTGAATGCCTCCAAACAAATCTCTGGGGCACAGCAGCAGGGGGTGGTGCCACGTGCTGCAGCCTGGCTGGTGGGGCTTTGGAGGAGGCACCTCCTTGGAGATGGAGCTCCCTTGACAGGAATTCTTTGCCCGTGTGTCTGCAGGTGTGTGTCTGCTGTGCCCACTGGGCAGAAGGTTGATCCCAGGGCTGTTCTTCACTGTTTGAGGAGCCACCACCTCTTCCCAAAGGCTGAATTGTGCGTGGTCAACAAGCTGCCACATTTCCAGAGCAGGACAGAGGTAGGTTTAACTGTTATTAACTGGGTTTTTTTTAGCAGGTTTAACCACTGAGGGGTAGGTTTAACTGTTATTAACTGTTATTAACTGTTTTTTTTAGCAGGTTTAACCACTGAGGCTGTATCTGCCCTCTTGGGATGAAAGGTTTCACTTTGGGGGGTTCAGGGTGACTGAAGAGGATTGAATTACTCCTCATCAAGTGGTTTCTTGTGGTGTTGAAGTTGAAACTAGCCCAGGTTGCCCAGAAGCAGGATCTGGGATGTTTAATACTGTAGAAAATGGGACTGGGATGTGTGAGGGAAGCAACATTCTGATTTCTCAGTGCAAGACAGACTGGGACCTGTTGGAGCAGGTCCAGGGGAAGTCCCAAAAGTCATCTACAGGTTGGAACCCCTCTGCCGGGAGGGCAGGCTGAGAGAGTTGGGGTTGTTCAACCTGGACAAGAGAAGGCTCCAGGGAGACCTGCTGGTGGCCTTTGAGGGGCCTGTCAGAAAGCTGGGGACAGATTTTTGAGCAGGGCCTGTTGGGACAAGACAAGGGGGGATGGTTTGAAACTAAACCAGGGGCAATTTAGATTAGATGGAAGAAATTTTTGACCCTGAGGGTGTTGAGCCCCTGTCCCAGGCTGCCCAGAGAGGTGGTCACTGCCCCATCCCTGGCACCATCCCAGGGGAGGTTGAGGGCTCTGAGCACCCTGCTCTAGTTGGGGCTGTCCCTGCTCCCTGCAGGGGGTTGGACTGGATGGATTTGAAAGGTCCCTTCCCACCCAACCCATCTGCTGATTCTCTAAGCAGGGTTTCCCTGCTCCTGAAGGCTCAAAGCTCTTTGTTCTCTCCTTGTTGTTGCCTGTGGCAGCCTGAGAAGGTGTGGGCCATAGTGACAGTCATGGTGCTTTTCTCCGACGGCGTCGGCGACCTCCAGCAGCTGGTGGGGTGTCTGCAGAGACCCTGCTCCACCCTCTGCCTCGTGGATGTCACCGAGAGGCTGTACTGCACAGCAACCCTGCTGTGTGCCATGAGAGACAGGAACATTGCCATCACAAACAGGTAAGGAGAGGGGAGGTGCTGCCTGCTGCCTCTGCCCAGCCCTGGAGATGTGTCAGCTCTTCGTCCGCCATCTGGGAGAGGGGAATGAGGCACCCTGGGGTCACCACAACCCCCTGCAGCTCCAGGCTGGGGCAGAGGGGCTGGAAAGTGCCCCAGGGAAAGGCCCTGGGGGGTTGGGGGACAGGCAGCTGGAGAGGAGGCAGCGTGTGCCCAGGGGGCCAAGAAGGCCACCAGCATCCTGGCTTGGGCCAGCACTGGTGTGGCCAGCAGGAGCAGGGCAGGGTGACTCTGTGGGTCACCTCATGGAGACACAAAATCTGTCCTGGAGTGGGGCCCAGGGTGGCAACTGTTGGGTCACAGGAACAAAGCTGCAGCAGAAGAGATAAAACCAGGGTGGTGTCAGCCCTGAAGTAGGATGGAGTGGATTTTAAACCTGCTATGGCTGGTGGGATTAAAGCCACCAGTGGCTGTGCTCCTCTCCTGGTGGTAGCAAAGCACCAGGAGACTCATCAGAGCTCACACAATAGAATCATCAGACACTTGATGAAGCTGTTCCACTTCAGAGGCCTAAACTAGACCCCAGTTCCACCTCTACCTCCCCCAGAATGTTGCTGACAGTGGTTCAGGAGAGTGACAGGGTCCTGGGGACTCTGCCCCCAGCTCAGGTTTGTGTGGCAGACCCTGAAACAAACCTGGCAGGAGGGAAGGGACCCAACCAGAGCTGTCCCAGGGCTGCCTTGGCAGTCACTGCTCAAGGTAGAGCTGACTGCACTTGCAAATATTAATGGTCATGGAATCACAGAATGGGTTGGGTTGGAAGGGACTTTAAAGATCATCTAGTTCCAACCTCCCTGCCATGGGCAGGGACACCTGCAGCTAGAGCAGGTTGTTCAACACCAGCCTGGTCTTGAACCCCTCCAGTGATGGAGCATCCACAGCTTCCCTGGGCAACCAGGGGCTCACCACCCTCAGAGTGAAGAATTTCTTCTCTAAATCTCCCCTCTTCCAGTTTGAAGCCATCACCCCTCATCCTATCACTACAAGCCCTTGTAGAAAGTCCCTCCCCAGCTTTCCTGTAGGCCCCCTTCAGATACTGGCAGCTGAGGACTCCAGAGCTGCCCCAGCACTGCAGGGGGGTCTCCCAGAGCTGGCAGAGGGGCAGGATCCCCTCCCTGCCCTGCTGCCCACGCTGCTGGGGGGGCAGCCCAGGCTGGGGGGCCTCCTGCCCAGCTCCTTCCCCCCCCAGCACCCCCAGGGCTGCTCTCCCTGCTCCATATTGTCTCCCACAACTGCCTGAGCACTTGGGGCTTTGTGCATTGTTCTGTTGGAAGCATTTAAAATATTGAGGGTGGTTTTCAGCAGCTGGAGAAGCATTAGAGCCATGGCAGGGTCCACGTGTGCTGCTGCAATGAGCCTTTTCCCTGGCACCAAAGATCCCAAAGCACCAACAGCCCCTGATGGGTTTGTTTCCTTCCTTCCATGTCTCTTTTCTCTGAGCCACACTATTTGTAACACCTAAATTCTGTTCAAGTTGCCACTGGAAGGTACTTGGGGTTATTTTTCCTGTCTCTGCACCAGAGCTGGTGGAGAAGATGAGGGGTGATGGGTCCAAGTTACTCCTGGGAGATTCCAGTGGGACACAAGAGGAACATTTTCCACCATGAGAACAATCAGCTGTTGGAATAATCTCCCCAGGGCAGTGGTGGGGTCCCCAATGTTGGACACTTTGAAGATTCAGCTGGACAGGAGCTGGGCCAGCTTGTCTAGACAGGGCTTTTGCTGAGAAAGATTGGACCAGATGATCCTTGAGGTTCCTTCCAACCTGGGATTGATTCTGTGATTCTTTTAGGTGGCTGCAGATGTTTCATTTGTTATGGATGATTTCTTAATGATAATTTCTCCTTTCTCCCAGGATCCATTACAATGTTTTCTACTGCTTGTACCTGATGGAGAATTCTTCTGTAACTGTGCAGACAGCAGCAGAAGAGACACTGGCTTCATGCTGCCAACGAGACTTATGGGCCAGGTAAAGTTCTTACAGATGATCCAAGCCATGTGCTTCAAGTAGAGAGGACCCAGGTGAAGTGCAGAACCTTGGAGGGGGAGCAAACATTCCATGGCAGGGGCTGCTTCTGAGATGCATAAGGATTAGTGCAAAAAACTTCTGCTCCTGGCCACCTTCTCCCTGAATTCTCAGAGGAAAAGCAGAATCAGGTCATAAAGCTGTAAATGTTGGATTACTGTAGCTCAAATAATGGGGCTCTTCATTTAGGAACAGCTTCTGAACATGGGAGGAGATGAGGCACCAGCTGCAGGATGCTGATTTGGCTCCTGTTTTCTGGAATCTGTGGATAATTTAGTTATATACCAACTATTACATATCCATAGCTGTTCTAAATTAGCATTGGTTGGTAGCTTGCTGCCTAGAAAGGAAGGACAAGAAGGAGTGAAACACTTTCCTGTGCTGTGCAGATCCAGGTTTGGTTCCTCTTCAAGGGTTGAGTCCCTTAGTTTGCTTCCCTGCAGAAGTGGAAGAGCAGTGCTTTCATCTGCCACAGAGATCCAGCAAAGATAAGCAAAGGAAATTTGCCAGAGATCCAAAGTACAACAGTGAGAGAGGTCATAATAACAACAACAAAAAATCAGGATTAAACCACACAGGCCAAGAAGGCCCTTGAGGGGCTGGAGCGTGGCCAGAGAAGGGCAACGGAGCTGCTGGGGAAGGGTCTAGAGCCCAAGTGTGGGGAGGAGCAGCTGAGGGAGCTGGGGGTGCTGAGCCTGGAGCAAAGGAGGCTCAGGGGAGACCTTCTGGCTCTGCACAGCTCCTGACAGGAGCCTGGAGCCAGGGGGGGTCGGGCTCTGCTCCCAAGGGACAAGGGACAGGACAAGAGGGAACAGCCTCAAGTTGCCCCAGGGGAGGCTGAGGTTGGATTTTGGGAACGTTTTCTTTCCCTTGAGGCCTGTGCCAGGCTGCCCAGGGCAGTGGTGGAGTCCCCACCCCTGGAGGGGTTTCCAAGCCGTGGAGATGTGGGGTGAGGGACACGGGGCAGTGGGGACCTGGCAGGGATGGGGGGTGGCTGGACTCAAGGATCTTAAAGATCTTTTCCAACCAAAATGATTCCATGATTTTTAACAGATGTTGGGTCTCAGGGCTGGTTTTTGTCCAGCCCTTTCCCTTTACCCCTCCATCTGATGGCTTTTTCTGAGCAGATTTTGCTGGTTCAGTAGAAGAACCCAAGTCACTGTTTGTTTTCAATAAGCCTGAGGAGCTGGGGTACCAAATGACTTTTTAAAGAATGACTTAGGGCCCTCAAGAAGAACTTTACCTATGTAATGTCTAAAGTTTACTGTTTATTTCTGCTATCTCCAATCTTTTTCCTTGCTTTTCTTATTTGCACAATAACCAAGGAGCTCTCGTGGCACCTTCCTGCTTGTGGGGTGGGATCCTTCATTCATTGGTTTCCTTCTGCTCTGAGCTGATTTGTTTGATGTGGGAAGATTTATTTTCTTCATTGAATTCACTCTTGATTGTGGTTTTTTTTTTTCCCATTTTTAGCAACTACCCTGAAGTAAAGCTGACTCATGAACAGCAAAGGATTTTGAACCACAGAATTGAGCATGGCCAAGTAGTGAAAATCATGGCATTTGCAGGTAAGAGCCAAAAATTAACCTCTGATTCTGCTCCTTCTGTCTGTAGATGCCAAGGGGATCAACCTTGCTTCTAACAGAGGCAAAAAATCTGAGCCAGCTTTTGCAGAGGAGTAGGAAGGAGAAAAATTGGAGGTTCCCATGGGTGGTGGTTCCTCCCATGCAAGCTGGGTAGATGTCCTCTTTGCACACAATGATGGAAACAAGTGTTTGGATGCTGTTGAGAACTGCCCAGAGGAGCTTGTCAGGGAGCCCAGGAGAGGAGAGGTGACTCTCAGCCACATGCTGAGCCTGTTTCACAGGGTCATCCTCCACAGGCCACCAAAATGAGTCTCTCTTGTTTGGATTATCATCCCCAGAGGGGCAGCAGAGGCCAAGAAAACCTCTACACTTGCCCACTGGTTTGAAAAGGGCAACTGCATAACATCAAGGGAGACTATTTAAAAAGAAAAGAAGGAACTCATCTCTCTAGCTGCAGAGTTTCCTTCACAGACACCACACTGGGGGCTCAGAGTTTCATGTGTGCTCTCCAGCAGCCCAGATGTGCCACTGGTTGTGGTCTCTTGTGTCTGTTACAAAGTCACTGTGTCCAAATGACAGGAAAAGGATCATTCATGGGTTCTGAGAGGTTACCTGTAACCCACCAAGGCAAGGCAGAAGAAAAGCTTGAGGAGCCACTGGCAATAAAACCCATAAAAGACTCAGAATCCACCTTCAGCCCTGTGGATGAGGACACTGGCCAAAGAACATGCAATATTTCCTCTCCCCTGTTCAGCTGAGGAGAGGAGGTGATAGAATAACCTTGGTGGGCACCTGAGGTCCAGCCAGGATCAACCCACCCCACCAGGCAAAGTGGTAAAAGATCCTCCTGGGTGGATAGTTTGGTTAAAAGCCAGGAAGCAGAAGTAGGAGCAGATGGAGGGTGGGAACCACTGGGGTCCTGCAGGGATCTGGGGTGGGACCTGCTTTATCCAATGCTCATGAGTTCCCTGGGAGGGGTGTGAACAGCAAGGTGATGAGTTTGCTGACACTGTGTCATGGCTGAGGACACAAAAAGGGACAAGGAAATGTGCACAGCCCTCCTTGCCTCAGTTTCCTCTTCTGGTTGGAACTCCTCAAGTGAAGTGACTTCACCCTGAGGTATGGACACTGTCCTGCAGCAATCCAGAGTAAAGGAGAGCAGCAGTAGTGGGAGATCTCACAAAGAAAAGAGCTCATCCAGGATTGAAAAGAGCAATTTTAACATTTCCTTCAGCAAGCTGTCTTTCCAGAGGACCAGCTCCTTCAGGCTTGCTCAGGCTTCTGGAATATTGGGGGATAAAATGCTGCAGGCTTCTAATTTTTTAAAGCTGCTTTGCTCCACAGCTTCTCATGACTTCAGTTGACTCAGTGAATAAATTCCCCTGAGCTACACAGTGTCCTGCTGTGCAGTGAGGAGAGCAGGAGGGGGAAGGCAAAGCTGAGGAGGAGTGTGTGGAGTCAATCCTTGTGGGGCCTATGAGAAAGCTGGGGAGGGACTTGTCACATGGGCTCAGGATGAGAGGAGGAGGGGTGGTGGCTTCAAACTGGAAGAGGGGAGATTGAGATTGGAGATTAGGAAGAAATTCTTCACTCTGAGGGTGGTGAGATGCTGGCCCAGGTTGCCCAGGGAAGCTGTGGATGCTCCAGCACTGGAGGGGTTCATGACCAGGCTGGATGGAGCTTTGAGCAACCTGCTCTAGTGGGAGGTGTCCCTGCCCATGGCAAGGGGGTTGGAACTAGATGATCTTGAAGGTCCCTTCCAACTCAAACCATTCTCTGTGATTCCTAACTCTGGATGCTTTCTTCTTCACCTTCTTCTCTCCTTCAGGCACAGGGAAGACCTCAACCTTGGTCAAGTACGCGGAGAAGTTTGCTGATCTGAATTTCCTCTACATGACATTCAACAAAGCTGTTGCAGAGAGGGGCAGAAGTGTCTTCCCCAGAAACGTTACCTGCAAGACTTTCCATTCCTTAGCCTTTGGAAGTGTTGGCAAACTGTGAGTGGGGCTTTGAGAGTCCTTTGAGGGCCAGTGGAGAGGGGAAAAGACCTGGCAAGGAAGGAAAGCCTGAGTTGGAAAAGAGCCTCCAGGATTTAAGGAAGCAAAAATAATGGGGGGAAGTTATTTCTCAAGCCAGATTGTGTTTTATGGTTTCCAAATTCTTCCAGATTGGGTGGGCCAGTGATTTCTAAGTTTCTGGCCAGTTATGTTGGCACATCTAAACCACAGACAGAAGGGAAAATGAGCCATGACCTGGAAGCAGAGGAGAATCCTCTTAACCTGGCTCTGAAAACAACCTGTAATAGGGGGGCTGAATGATGGGAATACCTCTCTGGCTTGACTTTTTGCCTATAAAACCTATAAAATGAACAAGTTTGTGCTTGGACCAGGATAAATAGGTGGAGATTTTAAAAATAATCCATTATTAGGTCAAAGCAGGTGTATAAAAACTTCTGGGGAAGAGGAGCAAAAGCCAAGCTTGCTTTTCCACTCTGCTTTCCATCTGTGTTTCAACATGTCTCTTCTTTTTCCTCACCTTTGGCACAGCTATAAAGAAAAGGGCAAGCTGAACTTCTCCAAGCTGTCTGCTTACTCCATCAGCTTCCTCCTCCAGAAACGGAAGGGACAATCTCTGTTTGTCAGAGGAAAAACAGTCTCACAGACCCTCGAGAGCTTTTTTGCCTCTTCAGATGATGAGATCTGTGAAGAGCACACCCCTATTTGGTTCAGAAATACTCGTGGTGAAAGAGAACTGGTCAGTCCAGAAGAGAAGAGAGTGAGTGTCTGAAATGAAGCAAGATTTGGGCTGCAGGGGTTAGAAGGGGCTGTGGTTATCCCACGTGGAATCACAGTCCAAGGGTATTTCTGCTTCAGCTCTAAGAATTGACTGTCAAAATGTGGGTTTTTTTCCCCTCTGGTGACAAATCCAAAGGAATTGGGGCCTGTTTGTTCTCCCTGTTAGCCCAGCTGGTTTCTAGAGGGGAGATTTGCTGCCTCTGCTCAGTGCAGATGTTTCTTCTCCATGAGGAAAAGAGAAGAGATCTCGTGTGTTTATACCAGTGCCTGACTGGTGCTGTCACACACAGACATTAAATGGTTTTGTAGCCATCTTTATATGCAGAGGAGAAGCCAGAAATTCTCATTTATAGAACCCCAGTGTGGTGAGGGTGGAAGGGACCTCTGGGGATCCCCTCA